CTGTTGCATATAGCACACGATTTTATCACAAAATTGTGTAAAAATAACTCCAAGAAAGAACATAATATAAACGTAAATAGTCCGGGAAAGTTATATCTAACGACATTTTTTTAGATATCCAACATATCATCCATTTACATGAACAGTTCCATTTATAGCACTTTATATGCGTATCTTGCGTCCACATTCAGCTCACTCTTACGAACGATTTCAATCACTTTCAATACAGTTCTTAATCTCATAAATACAAAAATACACTCCTCTTACCTTCCCCTTTAATGTACTATCCACAGAAAATACGATAAAAGACAAGATCACGAAAATTTTCCATTTTATTACTGAAAATACACTTCTCGCCAATACATTTCCCTATTATACTTGCTGCAATCTACTTGCCAGCAACATGGCGGCCGTCAATTTCCGGTGCGAGGCGGCAGCGTCAAAAACATCAAAGGAGTGGGCCATCTATTCATTCTTTAATCTATGCCTGAACGGAAATCAGGTCAATCCAGGTTTTTTTTTTGGGGGGGGAGGGGAGGAGCTTGAATTGTGGGAGGGGGGGAGCTTATATCTATTGAAGTTTGCGGTATAATACTGGCATTATGTGATTAAAATAAACCGAGTTGTAAGTCGTATAACCGCAATCTGATCTGCAATGAATAAACACGTATAGATTCTTACGATGTATCAATGAATTTGTCTGACCGTTTGCGTTTACTCCCGCATGTTTATATAACGTTTTACACTAGCAATGTTCTCGGCGAGTTTTCGACTTTTAACGTATTCGAATGAGTGATTCGCACAACAAAGTATTCAACATGAGATCGCAGCTGCATGCAAAGGCCTACATACTCCTGCAGATATTCACACTCACTCGATCCCATCTGCCGAGAGAAAAATCGCAAACAAAGTTCCCATGCAATTTGAACCAGATTTTATAGCCTCCCTATTGCTTCGTCATCATTGCCTTATAACATAGCATACATTTACTTTGAGTCCAATGGCGGTTCCCTCTTCAAAATCAGAAATGTTTTTACTCCGTAAAATGAACGTGAAACTTTATTTACTTATTTAAACACACTTAAAGTGACAGTGATAGTGAACTTTATTTAGGCACGGAGGCCTGTCATCGAACATGATAGGATGACCTTCCTGGCGCCTTGATAACGGTTGATCGAACCGATAAACGATATTTCTGTTAAATTTTTGGTTGACGCTCGTTTCCATTCGTTCACACAGAAGTTTGAACGGTTAGCTGTTCTTAAATTCGTCTTTTGCGTTTCTCTTTCGTGTGAACGTTAAGGCCCCGTTTACACTCTACCGGATTGCTATCGGAGTGGGTCAAATTTTGTAGGTATCGAAAGGCTGTGAAGATTTTTAATCTCAGAGACCCAAATAAACATGCCATTTCTGTCAAACTAATAAGCATTTGCTACTAACCATTGCTCCGTAACGGCAAAAGAAGCTGTCGTGACCAGGCGAATCCGGTATAGTGTAAACAGGGCCTAAGGCTGATTTCCACTGTTGCGTTTTTCGTACGCACGTACACGCACGTAAAACTTTGAATCCTTCTATTTTTAAATATTTTACAAATAAGTTAACAAATGCATACTAAAACTTGCGGAACACTAAAGTCTGTTGCTTTATTTATTTGGTTATTTCATAAGTAACATTTAAACGGATTTAAAGTTTTACGTGCGTATACGTACGTATGAAAAACGCAACAGTGGAATCAGCCTTTACGCGCAAGGCAAAATCGCGTGCGTGAATTTTACAGAACGCGGTTCCGAAATCATCCGGTCGCGTATGTACACGCGCACGGAAAACTTTAAATCTTTCTAAATTTTATAAAAGTACGAATTACCTCAACAAATACACATTAAAATCATACACAAAACCAAGGGCTTTCAGTTGGATTTACACTGTACTGGATAAGCTTTACGTCGCGACGTGAAAAAACACCTATATCCGTACCTTCTAGGAACGCTATCTTATCGCTAGGAACGGTGAGATGTTGTTTCGCCCAGCTTCTGAACGTTGTACATTCCGTATCGGATAGATGCTTTTTTGCGCCGCTACGGGAAGCTATATCCGGTATAGAGGAAACGTAGCCTTAATGATCCTTAATCAGTGTCTTTTCGTTCATTTAAAAATTTCATATAAGTAATACTAAAATGGATTTAAACTTTTCCTGAGTGAGAATACGTACGAAAAACGCTTATAACCGAAATGAATCCCAATAGTACTTACCGGCGGTAAACGTTGAAATGAGTTGCAAAAAATATGTATTCTGATTCTTCCCTGACTAAAACATCAAAATGATATTGCTCATGTAAGCAAAGTCCATAAGCTATTGTCGCGCCATGAATTACGACAACACTGAAGATTTACCACACATTTGTTCCGTAACAATCAAAACTACAATCGTTTAATCACTTTGTATATCGAGAGCCGCTTTTACTGAATGTGTACTGCTAATTTCAATTAACTAAATGCAGCATATGTGACAAACTTCATTATTATTTAATTTGTTTCTTTTTAAATAAGTTTCGAGTCATAGTTTATCATCTGCAAATGACCAGATGCCGTACTGATACATAACATGGCCGCGGGAAATAGTATGGGTTTTGTTTCTGCCTGACAGATCATCTATCTTTTATAGTATAAGCCACAGTATAAACATGTAGTATAAGGCCTGTTTCAAACGTCGCGCTTCTCATGTGTCGGACGCATTAAAAACAATAGATAATCAGCTGAAATGCCTCATTATGTATTGTTTCTAATGCGTTCGGCACATGAGTAGTTTGAAACAGGCCTAAGACGCCTACCATTCATACAAATTTTCATAAATTAATCTATAGGCTGTACAGACAATGAGAGCAACTGAGGCCGTCACGGCAGTTTGTCCGTAAAAAATTATATCGTGTTTATACACACATTGGATCACACATCAAGATGAACTATCCACGCGACTTGGTGTAGATGATTGATCCATATTTTCCCGCATTTATTTATTTATGTCTTCTATTGTCATGCAATATCAATCAGTCACAAAGCTGTTCGTATGTAGATACGTACGTAGCAATCCTTGTTTTTGCCCTCTCTGACATAACACGTCTGCGTGTGCATCTTCTGTCGTCACGTCGTTTCTTCTTCCTTTCAGGCTCCATTTTCATGCTATCCCAAAACATCTTGCATGCTGCAGAATAGTACAAGTAACTAGCGCCCTCTCCCCCCGTAAGGAGTGGTCTCCCAAAAGTAGCGGTCCCTCATTTCACTGAGAGGTTCCCAACAGCGCATAAAACTGAAAGTAAGGGGGCCGGGCGCTACTTTCGGGATTGTACGCAGTATCACCTTGGTTTTGTCACTTCCTTAACGTCTTGTGTACCAACACATCTTGCATCTCTTCATTCGTATTCATTATATTCAAGCACCAAGCAGGATAGTCTCCCCCCCTGACATGCCGGCTTTGCAGACTGCATCCTGCCACCTGCCCCACCCCCGCTGAAGATAGACAGCAAGTCATGGCAGGATTTATTATACTACATATTATCGCATTAAAAATGAATTAGAATGTGTTTACATGGATAGAACTTATTAATATATGATAAGAAAACTACAATTCTAAATCTAAAACTATTGTATAAAAGTTAAAAACTACATATATAGTAAGTATTTCAATAATACGTGATATGAAAGGAATATCAGTTAATTAACATTTCTTGCGTTTTAGCTATAGAGATTGTTTTCGGGGAAAAAACTATTCTTCAAACGGTTCGTTCTGCACTAATACATTGTCCAATTGTTCGAAGTTCTAATTAAGTAGTCGTGGGCAGATGCTCTGGTTTGGATCACATGTGGAGAGAAGGGAATACTACATTAGCAATTTTAAATAAAATCTTCACGTTTTTCATTCAACTTTGGGCATCCAGCCAAGTCGAGCGCTTCTGCCAGTCATCCAGGGAAGATAATACGAATATAAGATAGATTGAATTTGTCCAGGTCTATCGAATTTGTCCATCTGACAAGGAGTGGAGGATCACTGTTGTCAATATTAATAAATTCCTTGTGTATGGTGTGCTTAAAACGTTATGTCTGACTCTTTCTTGATTATGAGTAGGCCTAGATCATCACTCGTAATTATTTTGAATGTGACTTGCTGTCTTTTTCGCTATTTTTATTGCAATCTTAGTTTCCTCTTATATTTACATATATTTTTCATTCCGTGACCCCGCTATATTTTCTTCCTTTGACATAAATATTATATGAAATTGCAGTAAAGTTCTTTACATGTTTTCCTGTATTTTGGTAGCCTTAACAGATAAATGATCGGGTTGATAAGAAAATTAACGCTCAACAAAACAAAAAGGACGGAGAAGACCTCCTTTGTTCTTTTCACATTCAAAACGTCTCGTAAGAGCACAGTAATTGTTGCCATTCCAAGAAGCGGTACATATACTATCGTTAGAATAAAACAGACGATTGCAATTGTCACCAGGAAACGCTTCTCTTGTTCTTGCCTCGCTTTCATGGCTTTTAAAGCTCCTTCGCTTATGTCTTGTCTGTTGCGAAGAACATTTCTTTGTCGGCGTAGCGCTACATATGTCGCCAAGTAGAAGATGTTCACGGCGAGAAATAGAACTATCCCATACCAAAGCACGAATTTTCTTCTGTCTTTTTTATTGAATATGAAGTAAGTGACAACGGAAATTGCAGTATGTGCAATCCATTTTCCACACAACACTTTACGGCAAATCTGGATCGTAACTCGAACACGATACCACAACGGAAAAGCGACTGAAAGAAAGCGTTCGATAGCAAAACATAAAAATGCGAACGGCGACATCGTTGTAAATGCTAACCAAATCAACGAAATAATTTCGTGTTTCTTCCCAAGAAGTGTCAAGGCTATTCGAATGATCCATAAAAAGGCAACGGCTATATCGATGATTGCAATATTTCGAACGAAAAGCGATGTGGTGTTTTTGAAAACGTGAAGCGGATCTTTCCAATGCGCAAGGATGAGAAGGATGTTCGCAATGACACCAAGAGAAAGAATTGACATCTGAAGAAGGGATACTGATAAGGACATCGCATCTTGATTCACGAAAAACATATCTCTGCTACGGTGTTTAGATATGTTGGCCGCTTGAAATACTTGAGTTTATTGACAATTCTACATTGCTATATATACGATATACTTTCGTCTACAGACTCGCCATTATTCAGTGTTTGTATTTTGAAGGAGTGTCTTCATTATCACAAATTGTTGCAACCATTTACAAGGCAGGTGATTTCTGTCATGCACACAGCGTGTCATTAAATAAAGTTGGAGTTAATGAGTATTTTTATTAAAAGTTTAATTTTACAGTTTGTTTCTAATTTACTGACCGTGTCACGTCAAGGAAGATTTCCAGAGAATATCATAGCCACCTTAATACGACTTTTGGGAGATGTATTTTTAAATTTGATAGCAGTTGCTCAATGGCGGGAAAATTGAAATTGTAAAAATTTTCCTGCAAAGAAACTCAGAAAAGTTCAAAACTGACTAGCTAAAACGTGCAAAAACGTTGAATTATGCGAACAAAAAACTCGTGGAAAGCCGTAACCGTTTGTGTAAAATGTTTGAAAGCATAATTGCGAAATAGTTTGGCGAAAACTTGTTCATAAACAGTGTTACACTGCCTGTAAGTATCAGTCATGGACGGGCAAACAAAGGGTTCTTCTCTTGAAGAAATTGCGTTCAAGTGGATGTTTCATTGTGGAATCGTCAAGAGTTTACACGAACAGTGTCAACGATACGAGAACGAAAGTTCAGATAACAAAATGGTGAGACTTTTCTTAAAGTTTATACATATTTTTTATTATTCATATTTTGTTATAAAATGTTTTCAAAACTGGGGGTCTTTGACTTTATTTTGCTAGAGGTTCGGTAAATTCTACTAAATAAATTTATAAATTGTAAACAGGATACCAATATTTAAGTTTTGAACTGATGTATAAACAGCACTTAAGAATTGAAATAGTCAATGGTGTATTAATGAAACTTGTGTGACATGACTGTTCAAACATTCTCAGTTTTTAAAATGAGAACCACACAAATTCCGTTCTTGAAAGATATCTTTGATATATTTGTTTAGAGAGAGAAGAGAATTTATAGGATTATTTTTACCATTGATGCTGGGGAGTTGTTAGATTTTGATGGTAAGAACATAAAGTGTTGAAGATGCCAAATACAAAACAGTTCCAGAAAAAACTAGGGATGGGGGGGGGGGTGCAACATGCCCCATGCAGCTGAAAGGGTCCCATATGACTTCAAAGTTTGCCCCTTCCCATGCAAGGGCCTATTGAGAAGAAGAATTTTTCCAGTGCCGAAACACACTGTGCACATGGTGATTTTTATTCTTGAAGTCTATTTTGGTCAGATCTCCCAAACTATATCACAGAGTTAGGGATGGACCATTAGAAAAGTGATGGGGTGGTAAATTTTTTTTGTTTGCATTTTTTTCCAGGTTGTCAGCTGTGTATGCATGTTTTTTTTAAATATGTCTTCTCGCATGCAATTTTTTTTCCAATACAACTATACAAATGTTAACGAAACTGTTCTCTTGACAAAAAATATCCCTTTAATACACACTGCAAAATTATATCTTTAAGCACCATATATGGACAAGTTTTCTAGGGGTCCAGAGCATGCTCACCCGGAAAATTTTTGAATCTAAATTCTCTGAAATACCATTTCCCGGACTTTGGGGAGAGATTTTACAGAATTCTGATGGTCAGAAAACGCCATTGTAACATATCAGAGGCCCTTGGCCAATGTTTTTGCTCTATAGCCTGAGCCTGGGGCCCCCCATTTGCGGGCCCATTGGGGTTGGGGGCCCCCGGATTCTCCCAGTCCGAGCCCATAGTAGTTACACCACTGAGGACAGTGGCAGTGTGAATGAGAATTAATTATTAAATACAATAGAAAATATTTTGATAGTATATAATAAAACTACATAAGAGTTACTGTTAATATTGAAAGAAATTGCATATTAATATATTATATATTTTGATATATTTATATTCTGAAATATTCCAAAGATTTAGTTCAATTTTGTCTGATGTACATTTAAAATTAAAGTTCTATTGTTGTTCTGTTTGTAATTTTTTTTTTAAACAAGTCTGTTTGCATGTATTTTTTTTCAAACCTTTTTTGTTTGCATGGATTTTTTTTCTGTTTTTTCCCCACCCTCCCCATCACTTTTCTAATGGTCCGTCCCTTAGAATACACCCTTCGGGAAAGTAGTCGTCCATGACTATGGAGCCTCGTTTTCGTGATTTGAGATATTAGGTTTAGTGTACTTTATCGTGTTACAGGTGGACGGTGTAACATATACAGTTATATTAGATAATATAGAATACCTTCATAAAATTATGTCATCATTAACAAGATAAAGGTCTCTAAAGCTAATATATCTCAATCACGAAAATGAGGCTCTACAACCGCCAAGGCTAAGTGTTCTCTGGATAGGTGCAGTCTGACAATTTGGATGTAAAGTTTACCCGAAATATGCTCTATGTCTAGTTTTACTGCCTTGTGTATTGAGGATTCGTGTAAGTAGGTATACTGTTTCATTTTTGTGTCACTATAGTTCAACTCGGAAGTGTTGTGTGCAATCAGCCAGAAAAAGGCAAAGAAATATTTCAAGAGGTGATTTAAGCTGCATTTCAGTGAAATTCTATTGAGCCCTATATTTATCTAGTGTCTCCAGGCTGTAACTTCACATTGTGTACATACATCAGAATATACATCACTTTCTAGGCATGTTTTATCTGCATACAAACATTAAATTGGATTCCAGAAATTATGTCAAAAACTCAGGTTGATTTGCAGATGAGATACTTGTCAATTCCGCGTTTCATAAGGTGAATTGATTGGTATAGTGGTATTGAATACTTTTAGAGTTTTGTGGCTTCAACTTTTTAACGTTTTGTTAAAAAATGTTTGTAATAGTTGCTCCTCAGTGTTTGCTTTGAGAAGAGAGTTACTAGAAAGTGGAAGTCGAAGTATGCCATTATTTTGTACAGTTGGAATTGTCAGTGGTATGACGTCCAGAGTGAACTACACGTAAGTGACAGCGAGCATAGCCCTGGATTTACTTAGAAGATGAATTCCCAGGTTGTTCATATTTCTCTTAACCAATTCAGAATTCACCTCATCCTTCCTTTTCCAACATGCCTTTTCCTTCTAACTGACATGTCTTGCACTTTCTTAAAGCTTCTTTCGACCAAGTCCAACAATTTTGATTGCAAAGTTTTTGTGCCATCCGTATCTCCATTCTCGATCTTCAAGAAACCTTCCTGTTCCTTCCTAAAGGCTCAATTATTGCAAGTGTCCGCCCCACACTTATTCCCTGCTATCATCCATGATGTAACTATGTAAGATCGCTTGCATACTCAAGGACTTGAAATCACATGTTAAGTGATTATACAATGATAAATTCCGACGATATTTATAAGTTTTGTTATTCGCAGACAAAGCACATGGTTTCAGTGCATCAACAACACATGTCATTCTTCTTCCATTGGAAGTGGATGTGCAGGATATTCAAATAATCCGGGAGGTGAAAACATAAGGTATTTCTAGCAGCTGTATGTAGTATTCGTACTAGTTGAAAATAAGTTACGAGTTAAATGTGGTACCGTTGGCGTAATTAAGCAAAGTAATTTGTGTGCTTCTCTGTTTGATGCAACCATCTGAAAAATAAACGTCGACGGTACGAGCGTTTGGCTATTGTTACCTCCAGACGGTGAACGTCTTCGCTCGAAACGTCGAAGTTGTTCTTATTTTTCAGGTATAGTTATATCATACATATTTATTTTATAGCGGAGATATGATTTGCATAAGTTGCGGAACGCCTCTCGAAGAAGATATTTCATGCAGAATTCTTGGTGGTAAGATATTCCGGAAATGTGCCACGATTGATGTAATATATATTATATATTGTTCATCGTGCGCTTCATAGTTTGCTATAATAACGTTCTACGCAATTATCAACTTCTGTGAGAACTCCCATGCCCAAGTATTATATTTTTATAGTCTATGGAACCATAGAGTAGAACAAAGATGGTGAGGTAGCATTGCAACGAACTGTTTTTATTTTTGAATTAGAGAAATGCCAGCTTCGTATTGTAAGTCCTGATGGATTGTCACACAACACTGAAACGAATACGAACTGTCGCCTTAATCGTTCAATTTCAGTTTATGTCAGAGGTACGCATGAATCATATTTACTCAGAGACTTTCATGCATTTTAGGATTGTGGTTGTGTATATCTGCCCTACTTCTCTGAGACCTGAGTACCATTGTTGTAATATCCTGAGTGCAGTGCTCGCAATTTCATTCAAACATTACAGGTTTTCGTAACATAAAATAGTAACACTGGATGAATAGAAGAAGAACAGTTGATGAATGATAGTGCGATCCAGTATATAAATAAAATCACTAATTAGTTTACGTTTCCTAGCTCCTGTAGTAACACCGGAAGAATGGGGGAGATGGCCCTTGCTGGACCTCTAGTAGGAATGTAGTATAGAACCGATAGGTCTATCAAGTGTAAACACATTTTTCTCTGTTTCGCTTTTTCAAGAATAGTGATGATTCTGAAACTGATGATTCCAGAGCAATTAATGTTTTAATAATTTTTAGACGAATTAATTAATGAAGTTGAACTCGGTGCTTGTCATTCGTTTTCACTATTTCCGCATCGAGAATTTTACAGTGGACAAAATTCCAATCAGTTGAACTTAATCTTTGAGGTAATTACTTATATATTTAACAAATCAAGCATGTTATAAAATTGATATTTTATTTATTTCAAGTGGCTTGGTACTTATATGGTGTCATATCCTCAATCAGTTTTAACTTTCTTTTTTTTTTCATTTCAGGCAAACAATGTTACAAAGGTAATTTATAGTTGTTTCGTGTAAGCATGAAATACACACATGCTATATAAAATGTATTTCTTCTGTTGAAGAAAGTATCTCGCGTGTTCACTTCGTTCACTTGAGAGATAAAGTAAATTTCCATCATTTATATATTATCCATTGATCAGTGAATCTGCATGTCATTTTTGGACTGTTCATTCTATATTTCATTATCATTTTTTATATTTTTTACTCCTAAAAGGTGAATGCTTGTCCTATATTGTCTATGGTGCCCCAGTCCCTCCTGGAAGCTAGTAAATCAAAGTTCTGCAAAATACAAAAACTGTATGAAGGTTAGTTTTGAATTACTGTAGTAAATTCCATTTTAAAAGGGTGGAAGGAAGGAACATTCGAACAAAGTTGTGTGATATGTGTTGATGTGGAAAACAAAGATTAATTGTTTTTTAAATAACAAACCTGAATAATAAAATATTGTTATTGTTTTTCATAGATCGCAAAAGTTCACCGTGGAGTTTCGCTGCTTCTCTTGCTTACTTTTTCGGAGGTGAGGCTTAAACTCATGTAATACTAACATATTGTTTTAATTAATAACCACAACAAGTAAATGCAAATGCACAAGTCCCAATTTAATTTTGGCGCCCTTTTTAAATTGGGAGGAAGAGAAGCTGCTTGTTGGGACATTCGGCCTTGCGGATTGAAAGCGTTGCGAAATATCAAACCCTAGCTGGTATACCACCCGAATACAGGTGATGTTGATATTTCTGTATAAGCAAGGACTCATCAGTTTTCTCCTCGTAAATATTAACCACAGACTAATATTGGTTCAAGCACAATCCATAAAAGGAATGAAAGGTCGTAACCTTCCGTCGTTATAGTGATAGACAAACAATCGTAGAAATATGATCATGTTACAATCTTCAGACAACAACCCCGCCATAACAGAAAATTAAACTTTCGCCTTGTTCATATCCTAATGTTTAATATGAGTTTTATAAACGGTCAGACGGTTGTGTCGTTGTTAGCTGTTACCGTTTTACAATGGCAAGCGGCTTGTGTGATTGCAAAAGACATGAAGGGCTCTAATAGCGAATGGCGGTTAACAAAGTTAACGCTGTTGGAAAGAAACAGTTTTATGTTCAATAACTCGCTCATGAGTGACGTTAAATTCGTACCCAGAGGATGCGGCACTGATGAACCCATATATGCTCACAAATACATCTTGGCTACGAGCAGCCCTGTGTTTTATGAACTTTTTTACGGCGAATCAGCAAAACGTACCAGATTACAATTAGATAACAGTTTCATATATGAGGACGAGGGTTATATTGTCTTTGAAGAGGATCACTTTGTTGAACCAGTCGTGTCTGCTTTCCTTCGCTTTCTTTATAAAGAGGAATGCCCCGAGAATATTGAATATATTGTACGAGGCACTCGGGATATGGCCAAACAATATCGAGTTCCATCCTTGGAAACTGCGTGCATAAAGGACCTAGAATTAAAAGACACAGTGGTCTCTGATGGAGAATGGCAGTTGACAAAGACAACGTTGCTCTCGAGAAGCAGTTATATGTTTAACAACCCGCTCATGAGCGATATCATTTTCTGGTCAGAAGGTAGGGGTGTCTATGCACACAGATACATCTTAGCTACGAGCAGCCCTGTATTCTATACAATGTTTTACGGAGAATCAGATATACATAACGATTATATTTACGATGATTTTGATGAAGAAATCATAGCTGCTTTTCTTAGCTTTCTTTACAAAGAAGTGTGTCCTAAGTATATTGAAACAGTCCTGAAAGTGTTAGCTTTGGTGAAGAAATATCGAGTGCAATCGTTTGAAACTACATGCAAGAGTAGCTTGGAGTTTAATACTCCCTGGCCGGCATTTAAGGTGATTGAAAAATTCTTAGAAGTGGACGCAGAAGAAATGGCAGAACCATGGTGGACTCGAATAGAGTCCCAACTTGATGAGATTATTGTATCGGAATATTTTTTGAAAATAAGTCAAAGAACTTTGATCGCGTTTTTAGAACGTGACACGCTTTGTTATCCCGAGATTGATTTATTCCATGCGGTAGTAAGATGGTCTGAATATCAATGTAGATTACAAAGAATGTGGGTAACTGTGGAGAACCAGAGGAAAGTTCTTGGTGACTCTATTTTTCGAATTCGCTTCCTATCGATGACTGAAGGAGATTTCAAAAGGCATGTTGTTCCATCGGGTGTTCTGACTGACAATGAAGTTAGTGCAATCATTGAGACAATGAGGTCTGGTGTAGGCAACTATAACTACAACTGGGCTTTACCGGCCAGAAGTAAGCGTGCATGGTTTTGTCAATTTTATAGTGTGGAACAACTTCAAAACCGTGTGATGGCAATCGTTTTGGGTGCCTTGCTCTTAGTTGCTTGTGTAGTATTTATGCATGTATATCCGTACCTCCTTCAGATATATGAAGAAATACAAGAAACACTGCAGCGACTACACTGCAGCGACTACAAGAACTTCAAACAAGAACAACAAGCGGAACTAGAGGAAGAACAAAAACAACTCAATGAAGAACAACAGCTAAGACAGTATCGACGACGACGACGTACGATACCGGCAACGACAACAACATGATTTCTTTAACGACATCAATCCTCCTAAGTCGGACTAAAGTGATGATTTGATGTTCATAGAGAAAGAGAAATCGTTAACAACCGAGCAATCAGTCCTAATTTATGTGAGGTGTGGAAATAGCGTCACAGCAATTTGTGCATAATTTATCACAAATTATGTATAAATTGTTGAAAAGCACGATAAGCACAAGGAAGACAATAATTTATGCCGGTTTTCACTTAACGTTTTCAAATTTTATATCGAATTTTATATGGCCTAATATTCAATCTTTCAAGATGGAATGTATCAAAAATTGTGTCTGAAATGCAATAAATCAACCTCTGGAGGCCAAAATGTACGAAAATGTTCTGGATAAGGACCCAGGACACCCGAAAAGTTCTGTCTTTTGCAATACCCCATCACATAGTTGGGTCCCTTTTCTTAGGTTCCCAATTTACAAATTCGTAAATTTTCCTCTTGGATTTCCCAGTACAGCACTGAATAACATACAGTACAATTCGCTATGTGACATGCTGCTATTTTATGTTTTTTTTTGTGCAGTGATAAAATTTCTTTAAAATAAACCCTGATAAAACTAATGCTATATTTAAAATTTAAAATTTAGATGCAAGAATTAGGTATATATTGTCATAGTTTAGAAGTTCAAAAAATAGTCACAATGACATGTTTAAAACTCGAATCATACTTGGAAAACAGCTTTTCTTAAACTACGACCAGTTATTGTTAGAATTATGTACATTACAGTTTTCTCTAGTCTGAGGTAAGAGATGAGGCAGCTGGTTACCATCAGTGATCTTTTTAATCGTTCTCTCGCAAAAAGCATCGCGTCTCTCATCTAGATCAGGACAATGAAGCTCACTCAAAGCTTTTCGGAAAGACCTGCCAGGGAGGATTAGTTGCATGCAGTTCTTCACTCAAGATTGCAACTATCCTTCATGGCAGCAAAAGGGGTTGGCTACTGACTCGGACCCAATGCAATGGGCTGAGGAGTGTGATGCATTCCCATCACCCACTCTTATTTTTTCCATCCTCATTTTAGGGACTGGGTACGAGTTGGGGTTGGCCATTCCTAAACTCGTACCAGTGTTTTACAGCGCACTGCTCGTACAGAGGGTTTCTGCGCTATGGCGCTCACTAGCACAGAAGCACTGGGTACAAAGTTAGGCCATACCAATTCTGAAACTAATTAGCAGAAACTAATTAGCAGAAACTAATTAGCAGAAACTGAGCTTTATACTCAATCTCCTGACAGTGAGCCGAAGTTGAAAAGAGGACATGCAAACTTGGAGGAGGATCCTCTTTTCTCCAATGTCGTTCTTACGTCTTGAGGTGGGAACGCAGAGGAAAGAAACTGGGAACAAGATTGAAATTGGGGGTTATCATGTTGGGAGGCATTTCCGTTATCTGCAACCGTTCTAAATTATTTTTATTTAAAAAATATTTGCGGATTAATTAAAAGCGTTAATTTGCGAAATATGGTATTGTCCACATGCAGGGACAAATCAATTATATTCCTAACCATAGAACAAAGAACTTACTCTCAAACATAAGCTACAATTTTTTATATTTCAAACACATCCAATAAAAGGAAAAGGTTATGACCTTTTTATGAATATGTGATATGATTGGTAATGAATATTTTATACTAAACAAAGAGTATGATCCTCAGCCTTGACAACAAAGTTTATAATGGCTACCGCAGATTTGCCTCGGATAATATTGACTCTTATAGGACTTATAGTTGTAATAACTTTCATTGTAGTCATCTGGGAATGGGCAACGCTTTCTGTTGTGACAACGAGCACAGGGACGTCAAGTACAAAGTGGCAATCTAATACATTTGTTGAAAGAAACAAATATATGTACAATAACTCATTCACAAGCGATGTTAAGTTCACATTTGGAAACAATCAATCCGGAGAAGTGTTCTACGCGCACAAATATGTACTGGCGACAAGCAGTCCTGTCTTTTACGAAACGTTGTACAGCAAATCAGGGGAAAATATCACGGACATACATCTACCAAATTCTGATAACGAAACAGTCGCAGATTTCTTTGGCTTTCTCTATAACGAGAAATGCCCAACGGCAACAAATATTGAAAAAGGTTTACAGGTATTGCGCTTGGTAATGCATTATCAGGTTACTTCGTTTGATGCAGCTTGTAAAAATTATATGAAACCAACAGCACAACAGGCATTTAAGTTTCTTGAGAAATTCTTGGAACTCAAAGCAGAAAAATACATTAGTACATGCTTTAATTACATAGATACGTTTGCCGATGGGTATTTCACATCAGAATATTTTCTTAATATTAAATTGGGTACTCTGGATGCTTTACTGCGACGCGACACACTCGACTATAAAGAAGTGAAACTATTCAAAGCGCTTGTAAAATGGGTTGACCACCAATGTTCGCTACAGAATTTGGAAGCATCGTACGACAACCGACGAAAGATTCTGGGCAATGTAATATATAACATTCGATTTTTACAGATGAACTTGAATGAATTTACAACCGATGTTATTGGTGTTGGTATTTTAAGTGATCTTGAAAGTATTAGTATAATAAAGGCAATTACGGGTCATCATGTACAAGATTTAATATGGGATTACCCTAGTCTACGACGCCAGAGGAGTTCTAAATTGATTACAAGTTGGCGGACGTATGGTACAGTAATTATCATTGTCTGTGGCCTTGTTGGATTCTGGTGTTTATACGCAACGAATAGGAAAGAAAAAATTAAAGTTGGGTATTCGGGGGAAAAATTAGGAAAGTCACAGTATTCCCCACATTTTTACGAGAAATCTAATACGAAGACGGCGAAGTGGTAGCCGAATTCATCATAACTAAATTGTTATTTTTTAATATTTCCTAATTCTCTCATCATACTAATGAATCATTCATTCCAGAAGGTTTCAACGTGAATATTTATCTCTTGCATGAAACTGTTATTACTCATTATTGCACGTCCACTTCTAAAATCAAACTGCAGTCAAACCTCTGTTCAAAGGAAACCTTTTGAACCTTGCGAATGTGTCCACATTGAAGGTGTACTGTCTGCTTAAAAGGGTTACAATGACGGTAAGTCGGTAACATTGGAACCGGAGCTATGTGTTTGCTTAAAAGGAGTGTCCACTTAACAGATGCGAGTCAACAAAACATGAATTAGATCTTTCAGAAATGGGTGCTGAGGAATTGGACCGGGAAAAGGAAACATGCAGTTTATTGAATGTAAAATACAAACTAAGGCCCTGTTGGATCGAATATTGGTTATATCCTCGTGTATTTTGCACAATATAGTTAGGGATAGGGGTTGTGTTCTTATTGGGTGGGGAAAATGAGGATCTTGCCACACTGTGGAAAGCAAAATTTGTTATTTTCATGAATTGTTTCTTTTTGGAAAACATCAGTGCAGTTGACCTTAACTCATGTCCCTACTCAATGTGGAATTATGAACGCCATGCAGTTTCTTTCATCATATGCAAATGTTTTGCTATGAGTCAGTTGCGACATAATGTCACAACCGGTGCCTTGTTTGACTTCGTGAAATATGATAGTAAGCTAAGTATATTATGAATTTTGCTAAGTTTATTTCTTTCAACGAGTATTGATTAGGGGCACATTTTAGTGTAAAAATTCTTAAATTCAGAATATTTTGAGCTAGTCATTATTATTTATATTATGAGATTGATACCACAGGTGGTGTATAATTAAATATACCAAGGATTAAATTTAATTTAAATCGCACAGTGTGTCTGTCAGTCCTATGCAAATTACAAAGCTCTTGACTGAAATTTTGTTTGAAATTTATTTGAAATATGGCATCCGTTTTAAAAGGCCACGTTGTACCAACGTTTATAATAGTTTGGCAATGGTTTGCTATTAGTCGCATATCAGTGAACGCAGACGGCAACCAGAAATGGCAGCTAACGAAGAGTACCGTCTTGCAAAGAAGCATACACATGTACAACAATCCTTTCATGAGCGATATCAAGTTTATTTACAAAGATTGTTATGGCGGCGATGAATTACACGCTCATAAATACATGTTGGCCACGAGCAGCCCTGTATTTCACCAAATGTTCTACGGAGACTCACCAATAAATGACCCGGTTATTGACCTTTCAGATATTAGCAAAGACGTACTGGCAGCCTTCTTAGCTTTTCTTTATAAAGATGAATGTCCCGAAGATATCGGCATAACCTTCGAAGTTCTGCGTTTGACAAAGAAATACGAAACTCCTTCGTTTGATGAAGCATGTAGGAATGATTTGGAACAGAGAATAACAATAACGCAAGCATTTGAATTTCTTGAAAAATTTTTAGAATTACGAGAACACACAATGACCGAAGTATGCTGGCAGTATATAGACAGACATACAAGTACATTCTTCGCTTCAGAATATTTCCTGAAGATTCAGCAACCCACTTTGGACGCTTTACTTGCACGCGATACACTTGAGTCAAACGAAAGGGCAATATTCGAAGCCGTAGTAAGATGGGCTGATAACCAATGTTCTTTACGAAACTTGGAGCAAACCTGTGAAAATAGGAGAGAAATTCTTGGTGATGCAATTTATAAAATTCGCTTTCACACAATGACGGAAAGTGAATTTTCTGAATTCTCCGGAGAAATATTCAGAGTAAAACTAATTTTAACTAATGACGAGGTGGTTTATTTTCATACAGCAATCAAGGGAAAGAGTGTACGAAACATGAAATGGGACTTGTCAAAGAAAAAACGTGAAATGAGTACTTATTTGGAACGACTATTAGAAGGGAATGAAAAAGGATTTTTTGTCGCCGTATTTGTTTTGTTTATATTTTCTTTATTGACCGGGAACGAATTATTTACTCTTTTGCGTCTTTTAATTTTCTTTTGTGCGATCGGCATTTTGTATTTTTGGCCCAATATTGCCTACAAGTTGATCCCAAATTTTGTGGTTAAATGGTTGTAGTACAATTATAGTCCAGCGTTGATGTTTAACAGCTTATTACTGTGAAGAATAGATGCATGTATACCAAATAATACGTTCCTTAATTGTTTTATGGCTTATAATAACTGTTTATGTTGTAGCTGCATGCGGGTGCCAGAAACTGAGATCTCAGCCCCGCCTAATAACTCGAGCTCGGTTGTGACAACCTGTCCACAGACTGGGTTTTAGCGTCTGGTTACATGCAGATACAGATACAGATATTTCACAGCACACTCCCTATATCAGGGCTTTTCAGTGACTGGTTACATTATGAATAGATAGATCAACCGGACTGACGTGAAGCAGACCGAAGTAGACTTTGAGCTTACAAATGGCGCTTGAGCAGCCGCTATTAGTCAATACCTCATTAATGATCTGCCTCCAGACCTTATAGTGCCTAACCCACCCTGTCAACTTTCCCTGTGGGAGGAAACACGGAGTGCCCGGAGAAAACCCACGACTTTCGGCAGAGCGTTGACTTTTTGCTCTTTTCACATGAGGACTGGGTTCGAGTCACATTGAGAAGTTCTCACTGAGATTCGAACCTGCGACCTTAGAGGTGAAAGGCAAGTGCGCTAACCACTTGGCCACCGAAGCCCCACAAATTATATGATTCAATTAGACTATAAGCTCCTTTAGCTTGAACTTTAGTAATCCTACTTTTTATGAACTTAGTTGTAAAGAAGACTAAACAAGAGAAATTAAAATTTTTACATGACTGTATATGCTTGCTTCCTGCCCTCGAGATATTGAACTTAGTGTGATATCCAAATATCATTATTTGTAGTCTGCCACAGCACATGCAGGTCTGTCACGCAGACTACATTATTTGCGTGACATAAGCCCCGTTTACACTACGCTCAATTTTTGGTACGGCACGGATAATATTGGTACCCGTACCACTTTTTTGGTTCTTGGACTACCTATTTAGGTAGTCCAAAAACCAAAAAGTGGTACGGTACCAAAAATTGAGCCTAGTGTAAGCGGGGCTTAGCTAAATAGGTAGTCCAAGCACCAAAAAGTGGTACGGGTACCGATTTTATCCATGCCGTACCAAAAATTGAACGTAGTGTAAACGGGGCTATAATATTAATATTGCATAATATTATGACACTTTGAACCAACACCGTAGACGTGTGTCCAGAAAATAAGACCAACTTCGGACAAACCAGAATTTTTTCTGCAATTTTATATTGCTCTAGTTTGGCTGATTACTCCAGGTATTCAACTTTTTACCTAGGCTGGAATTTTTGGGTAGAGATCCTTGAAATTAACTGGAATTCGCTTTCATGCAGTTAAGTGCATGCATTCAAATTAAGATGCGTTTGCAGGTGTGTTTACGCCACTCTTGTTGAATTTTAACTTTATTGGACTATACAGTATAACGCTAACATAAACTGGTAATGGTTTATTAATCACATTTCAATAGCAAAGTATATAGCTAAATTATTATGTGTTTACAGGATTATGAAGAGTAAAATACAAAACTCATATATATTAATTAAGACTATGAATTAGTATTTCCTTTAGAATTATGGGAGTAGTATATAAAATTATGGTAGGGCATATAATAGAATTAGGATTTTTACGCCAATTGTACTAAAATTATTATATTAATAGTATATATATATATATAGTAAAATCTAAAACACTAGTATGCTAAAACAACTATGAAGACGAGACGATAAATCAGTCCCATGCAAGGCACCTCCCTTAACAATTATAGAATAGAACACTGTATAAAGCATGAATACTATAGTTATAACATAGAGAAGAACGAGCAAACAGAAGTGAATGATGAATACAAGGTCAAGGATAACTGATATCACGGATTAACTAGTAGATCCGGACAACAACTTATCGTAAATCATCATCAATCGCCTCTATTTGACTGACGTTCTACATCAAAGTTTACTCTTTGACCTATGGCCCAGCAGTCTTACACTATAGACTCCATGCATGTGCAAGACATAGACAAGTCAAAAGTTCTGTTTGAATGCACTATAAATAACCGGGAAAATGTTTCGATGTAGCTGTTGGTATGAAATTGTTCCAGAGCTTGATTATACGGCGGTTGGAATAAGAAGCTTGGAAAGTGCTTGTTCTTTCTTGACTCCACCTGCATTGTAGTAATTTATTGTAGTTTATTGTTGAAGATGAATCACGTATATATTCGAAATATATACAGCTTCGTTAAATTGTATTCTGCACTCATTTTCGGAATAACTTTTATGTTAAATCATGGTTTCACCAAATACTAAAATTAACGGTTATTAAGGCAAGCTACACCTCCTATTATAGACCCCAAGATAGTTGCTATACCAAACCATAGACGAGCATTCAGCAGTCTGTAACCGCATGACACTTGACGTTTTAACATTGTTGTATTCCACTTCAAGTCTGGAACCTCCAGTCCATTCATAAATTTAACAATGGCAATAACTTCAACATCGGTGAGAAGTTCTGCGCCGACGTTTTTAATAAATTCACCCTGTTCCATTACTACAAATCGTATTTTATAAATTAAATCACCGAGGATTTTTCTCTTGTTCTCAATGGTCGGTCTTACATCGTTTAACCCACACTGATAATCAAGCCATTTCATCACAGCTTTGAATATAGTCATCTCGTCACAGCAAAGTGTTTCACGATCTAATAATGGAATACAAGTTTTCTTTTTTACTTAGGAAGTTAAAGTTAGAAAAGGATACATACCATTACAAAATTACAAAAAATATGGGTGCAGCCATCTAAAATATATTCAAACAACAATTGGTGTGTTCCTTTAGCACTTGGTCGTCAACCAATGGCAATGGCTATATAAGTATGTATTACATTTATAGATGGCTGAGATATTTGGTTTTAAATTTTTGTTGCGGCAAATCTAATATTAAATATTGCGAGCAAGGTAGCGCATAATTATTCAGAGTGATCCCAGCACGGAGTATGGATTTGTACCTAAAAGCACTGAAGCGACCAAAATCTAAATTTTCCAGAGCTTATGGATTCATTTCAGACGACTAATACCAACCTAGTAATGCATCCAAGGTGGTCTTTTTGATCTTAAGAAAATGTTCCAAAGAGAAAAATTCACTAGGATGGCTGTCTATGTGTGTCCAGCAAACGTCTGCCAACGCTTCCGCTTTCGATTCTATGAGTGTTTCAAGCCACTTAAACGCTCTCTCTGGTGTGACTTTTGGTTGTAAATAATCCTTGCAAGCATCAGTAAATGAAGAGATTTGATATTCCATTGCCAGTCGCAGCACCTTAAAAGCTTCCTCCACATCCGTTGGACATTCATCTCTGTAGAGAAATGATAAAAAGCCGGCGAGGGTAACATGACTTACGTCAGACAGATGGATACTTGAAATGTTAAAATCATAAAAATAAAATACCGGGCTGGATGCAGCAAGTATGTATTTATGAGCAAAGAACACTTCACCAGGCCCGCTATCACCACAGGTTAACTTAATATCGCTCATGATAGAATTATTGTACAGATAGCTAATTCGATCAAATACTCTAGTCTTAGTAAACAGTTCCTCGCTAATTTTATCCTCTGGTACTGCGCCAAAGACGGCACAATCTTTCCATTCGAAAGCCATCAGCAACCACACCAAGAAATGGTTGCAAACTAACCAGCTAGTATGCAGAGAAACCATGTTCAATTTTAAGATCCAAAGGAATTGTTATATTCTGGGAAAACAAGTATCCATTCCCAGAAAAGAGTAGGGCTGTGCAGGTTTTTACTGGAGCTCGTATTTCAAGGTCGTCGTACACACGACCTTCCGTTTTAAAACCTTACCACAGAATAAACCTTACTCCAATGGGGCATGCAAACTTGAAGGGCGTTTCCAGAGGAAAGAGCCTTGGAACAAGGTTGGATTTGTGGTGGGGGGATCATGTTGAGGGCATGGGGCAAGTTGCCCCCTTGGCCATCCACGATGGCTATAAACAACCATTGGTTTTCGTTAGTTTTTAACTGTCAAATTCTCAAGTTATTTTGGTTTAAAAAATTAGACTATACTTGCACAGAAGAAGATCCAGCCTTGCGGTTGAAAGCTTAAACAAATCAATATTATATTTATCACCATGGAACAGAGAATTTATTATCAAAACACTACCTGGTATACCACCCGTTAGAATAAACGTATAGATGATGTTGATATTCCTATACAAACAAGGACTTGTTTTTCGCCTCGTACTAGAATCACAAGCCAGTACATATTTCATATATTCAATAAAAGGAATAAAATGCCATAACTTGTTACGCTAATACGCTGCGCATGAATGTTAGTGGATATTAGACAGAGAATCCTGGAAATATACAGAATCTCAAGACAACAAAACCTCCTTCATAAAGAAGTTTAAGATGGCAGTCGCAAATTGGCCTTGGATATTTATATTCAGTCTTATAGTTGTAATCTTATGTTTGTATAATTATGTACATATACCTTTAATCATCTGGGAATGGGCAACGCTTTCTGGTGTGACAACGAGCATGGAGACGTCAAATACGAAGTGGCAATCTAACACACTTGTTGAAAGAAACAAATACATGTACAATAACTCATTCACAAGCGATGTTAAGTTTACATTTGGAAACAACCAATCTGGAGAAGTATTCTTCGCGCACAAATATGTACTGGCGACAAGCAGTCCTGTCTTTTACGAAATATTTTACAGCAAGTCAGGGAAAAATATCATGGACATTCATATTCCACATTCTGATAACGAAACCGTCGCAGATTTCTTTGGCTTTCTCTATAACGGGAAATGTCCAACGGCAACAAATGTTGCGAAAGATTTACCACGGTTATTGCGCTTAGTAATGCATTATCAAGTTACTTCGTTTGATGCAGCTTGTAAAAATTATCTGAAACCAACACAACAACAGGCATTTAAGTTTCTTGAGCAATTCTTGGAACTCAAAGCAGAAAGATCCATTAGTACATGCTTTGATTACATAGATAAATTTGCCAATAGATATTTCACATCAGAATATTTTCTTAATATCAAGTTGGGTACTCTGGATGCTTTACTGCGGCGCGACACACTCGACTATCGCGAAGTGAAGCTATTCAAAGCGGTTGTAAAATGGGTTGACCACCAATGTTCGGTACAAAATTTGGAAGCATCGTACGAAAACCGACGAAAGATTCTGGGAAATGTAATATATAACATTCGATTTTTACTGATGACTCTGGATGAATTTACAACCGATGTTATTGGTGTCGATATTTTAAGTGATCATGAAAGTTTTGGTATAATAAAGGCAATTACAGGTTATCATGTACAAGATCTGGTATGGGATTCCCCTGGACTACGACGCCAAAGGAATCCTGAAGATGGGAATTGGTGGGCTTACTTCAGGCATGCTGTGGCATTATTTACCATTGGCATTGTTGGAGTTTTAATTGGTCTGTGCATGTGCTGTGCACATCTTCTAAACAAGATAAAGAATGCAATTATGTCAGAAGTTCCACACAAATCTTGTACAGAATCTAAATACAACCCGAAAATGCAAAAATCAAACAACGTATATCCCTCAAAAAAACGTTTACCTAACCATGAACCCAATAGGGAAAATACTACCGACGCACACGCGAGAGGCTGGGGTACAGGTACCAATACACGCGCGAGAGGCTGGCGTACCAACACATACGCGAGAGCTTGGCCTAACCATGAAAAGGACTAATACAATTAAATGGATGATCTTAGTTGTCTGTAAAAATAGGAATTTAGAGATTTGTAAATTTATAATCTAAAATCAGGAACTCTTCCTGGCCATATATATTCAATTTTGTTCTGTGCGATGTAGTTTTGTATTGCGATATGTTGTTTTGTGTTGTATTCTTAAAATTTAGCAATTTTTAAAGGGCCCTTGGTGTATACTGTTGTGGTGTCCCTGCCACTTGTTTGTTGTAAGTGGCGAAGTTTAATAAATAAATATATGTGTGTAGCTATATAAAACGAAATAATTTTTTTATTGAAAATAAACTTTTGCCTGCTATCACAGCATTTTTACACTTCATTACTTAGAAAATCCCACTGTTCTTCATGCCATCCAGTCACTCAAATTGTTCTGACTTATAGCATTTATGCTTACCTTCATTTCCTGTTCTCCCGATGTTTCTTTTATTCTGCATGGATAAGTTTAATTCTAGTCCTATATAAATCTCGTGGAAAAGCAAAAGTATTCTCGGTACTCCACCAGTTTTGATTTTTGATTCTTGTCCACCCGAAAAGTGAACTGGAAATTCAGAGACAAAAGAGACAAAACGACCCCTAAAGAGTCCTTGTGGGAGTATAAAATCATACACTGGAATATTTCAACATCCCTTTTGTCTAAACCCCTGTACTTCTGTCTTAATATCAAGGGCACACATCGAAGCAGTGCATATTTTAAATGTTTTACAGTGGGGGGCCAAAACCAAGCCCAATGTGGGCTTCCCAGATTAAGATGTAGGTCACTCAGGGTAAGGTTCGGGCCCAGTCTGAGCCACTAACTAGTGGGGCCTGTGAGACCAAATGCACCCCCCCCCCCCAGCATATGTTAAAATATGCCTTGCATCGAGGGCACCTGCCTCCATTGACTCTCTCCCAAATCCAACGCTATGGGTGTCGGACTCTAGAAATACAAACCCTCCTATTGCTGTATTGCTATTTTTTAGATTCCGTCACACCTCCCGGTACATATTTTCGACTGAAACTAGGTCTGCTTCTGAGTCTAGTGAGTCAACAATCATTGAATGATCAGTTATCTGGAGGACATATCCACATTCTCACAGTGTGTAAAGATGTACTGCCAATACAGAGACTGTTGTTATACTCCAGGTCGTTTTCTAAAAGATCAGTTGTATTTTCACCATGTAATGATTTATGCTTCTCCATATCTAAAGATCAGTCTAACTTGGGTTCATGCATCATTCATGGTATGTATATAGATAATCATGAGGCATATTGGCTGAATATATGTAAGAGTAACTGAAGCCTTGGTTATCCGAGGATGAGACTGAGAGCTGGCATGCAAAAGTTGCATGAGAGTTTTCTCAACTCTTGTGCCCCGATCAAACGAAACATAAGTTGGGTTAGGGCTGGATATTACCGCGTGCGTAGCCAAAACACTCCTCAATTCTCATCAAAATTTGAACCAACTCAGAGCTGGTTCGCCTGCCTCGATTGACCCCTATGGTTATTACAGGTGACCTGCACTTCTCTGTATTTAAGTTCTCACATAACTTGTTATTTATTTTCATACATGTGTTGATGAAAGTGCATGGGAGGAAGCGGGACTTGCCAGTTTCTTCTTTAATTGATTGATGGTATAATGATGAATTTTTCTTTATTCCTAAGGTGGTTGTGTGTTATTAGCCAGTGGTGGAGTTTGTGTACTTAGCAATCTTAACGAATTGAAGAACGATCAAGTAGAAGAACTGGGAAATGGTATGAATGTAGAAGATTGAGGGGAAACTCCCTAACCACATCAGCACTTATAACCAACACATGTGATGTGGTGTTCACTAGGCTTGTCTTTGAAGCTGGGAGAGCCGGGTTCAAACCTTGGTTGAACCTCTACTCAAGGTCTTAAAATAATTGAGGAGAAAGAGCTATCTTTACATTGACATCAGTAAATGGTTAGATTTTCGCGTCTTCTCGGATAAGGACGTTAAATCGTAGATACCTCGGATCCCCTATCAATTGAGCCATATCTTGTTGGGAAATCCACTCACCAATGAGTGAAACGCAATACACTCAAAACACTTAATCTGAGGTTGAGACCTAGATTATATTGTTTGATTCAGCAAAATAGTGAAAAAATGATCGCCAATGAACAAGAAATGTGCAAAGAAGGGCAATTTTTACAAACGATTTCCTTAATTTCCAGTTTTGTTTCGTATATGTCTTACATGTTTTCCAATCTTGTAGTGGTACAGACGGAATGTGTGAATATCGATGTGCCGAAGAAATACATCGGCTGTCAGCAAAGTCAGATCTCTGTGCCTGTCACGTGCAAGATATGGGCATGTTGTGAGATTACAAAGAAACAAGGAACAAGATCACATAACACCTACCAAAATTTACAAGTACGATGTGGTATCTATGTTTTTGTTGTCTTGCACAACGATGAAATCATGATTTATTTTATTTTATATATTTCAAAACAGAGAAAGAGCATGCAATAATGCTACGTATGTCCTAGCTAGTCTAGCTACGTTTCATGATCTAGTTACTTCAAACTACCGTGCCTTGCGGGAAATTAACTTTTTTCTGTGGTTATGTAGGAGTATGGGCAACTTTCAAAGACCCTTGTTGAGTATGTTTTATAACTTTTTAATTTTTTATATTAGAAAGGTCCAGATTCTGACTTCCACTTTTTTTCTGACTTCCACTACCTTCTACAATTAACTACCATTGAATGAATGAATGAATGAACAACTTTATGTAAAGAGGGTAAAAACACATGACAGCAATATAACTGAAAAAACCATTGAGATGCATTTATTCTACCAAATTTATCAATCAAGTGCATATTAAACCTGTGAGAGGTAGAGGTAGGCAAATCTAAATCTCTCTATTAAGTGTACTGTAAGACAGAAATTGAATCCCGAACATACATGAGAATATCTTGGTGCCTGAAGTTTTCCACCACAATTCACGGTACATTGTCTATTATCTTAGTTCATGGTTCTCTTATACTGTAAACATTCTATTTTTATTTCAATCTAGTTACTTCAGTTTGGTATTCGTTATGACAGAGAACGAAATAGCTTCATCAGAAATGTTCGCCGAGACTCTTATTGTTCAAAACATATTGGAAAAAGCATCCTTAGCTAAAGAACAAGAAACCAACCGTATTCCAGAAAATGAATTCTTCCAGGTATACTACTCAAAATCTTGTCTTACATTTGATTTGAAATATGAAGTCGTCATTTCATTTTGTAGTTCCTACAGTATGCGTCGGCAAATAAACCTTCATTCAGTAACGAAGCTCGAGATTTGATTCAAGGATTTTATCTTGCTAGTCGTAGATCAAGGAGTTCTGGTGGCGTTGCTGGAGTCGAGTTCCCAATTTCAGCACTTAAATCAATGTAGGTATTTAGAACGTCCCGACTGTGTACCCAATGAAGACGTATGAAACATAATAAATGAAACACATTAAAATAGAAGTTAAAATTTACAAGGTGATATGCAGACATTATTAATTTTAAACTCCTCTTGCGAGTCAGTTGGTGTAAAGAAAACCCTTAACATTTTGTCGTACACGAACAAATAAAACTTGACGAGAAAGACTGGGAGGAAAACATGCCCGTTTCTGTAAAGTTTATTTCGTTTCGTATTCCTACAGGATGTCACTTGCAGAAGCTCATGCAAAGTTAAATCTACGACATGAGGTTAGATTAATAGTAACTCCTGGCGAGTAACGGTATTTGTATTGTCTTGATTCCCTTGAGTATAACTATGACCTATGTCATGATAAAATTGTGGAGACACTTTTATGCATGTTTTGAAGGTTTCCGAAGATGACGCAGTAATGGCAATTTTGTTGTACGAAGAATCGATAACAGCAAGAGTGGGTATGTTAAGTCTAAGTCTTAACTTTCTCATACCAAGACATATCTCTGGTATATTTTTACGTATACGATTTCAATATTTTTTTCACAAGAATCATGCTTTCAAATTTCAACGTCTACATCATATATTATACCTGGGTTTCTTTAAGGTTACTCTGTTCTTGGAGTGAGTCCAGTGCATCATTTTAAAGATGGCAACATCATGTCTTATATTGGTGAAGAGGTACATTAACGTGCTTTTTCCTGTGAATCCATGTACTAAGCTATTATTCTTTTTACTTTTTAACTTGTACCAATTGACTATAGATAGGCGCAGATCGTAAAGTTTATTCATGAACAAAATACGAAGGAAATCATGACTGTGAAGGAGTTTTATATCTGATACAAAATCCTGCTATAAAATCCTACCAAATATCATCTATATCTTTAAAATTATTGAAGAATATGAATGTTTTCATCAAGACAAATCACAAGCTATATAATTATATATATACAGCATTTGCATCCGTATCTCACTGTATTTTGTTACAGAATGATGAAAAGATGACGCATCTGAAAATACACACGAAACGATTTTGTTCCTTGCATTCAAATTATAAATACATTCCTGGATATATTCCACATGAAGAATGAGAATTCACAGGTTTGAGAATTAATATTTATTGTATTTACTATATAAATTATATCAAAATTATTTCAAATGTTAATATATTTATCAGAATGAATATAGATATAACATATAGTGAAAACTCTGTTCCAACTTCCATTTTGATAATCTTTTTAAATAATCTCTATAAATTAACTCAGACACTGTTTCCATATATTACCAATAATATCATGCTATAGTTAAAATACACTTAATCACTTTCAATTCCAAGAAATAACTTTACTTTCATCACTAATAATGTACCAATTTGGCGACTGTTGTTCAGTTTTTAACCAATTAAAATCATCCACTAACTGCCAATTATTCTTAGTACGGTCCAGCCTGCTAGCTTCAAAATGGCCGATCATACCATCATACTTCCAATTAAACTGGGCAAACCCTAAATCATGGCAATCTTCAACGATTGCTCGGCTTGTAACATGGAGATAAAACTGTGATTTAACAGTATTGTGGACACGTAATTGCTGACATGGGAATACAAATATACAATCTTTACAGTCATTGATGAATACTGATCCACTCACAGGCCCACAAAATACTCGACATGATTCTAATTTCTCAAGATGAAGAGCTAATGGAGACCCATAAAGAGTTAATGTGCAATCCTTCAAATTTGAGAAACTGACATCTTTCTCTAACAAGTCATTTTCATGTCTTGTAATCTTTTCTCCAATGATAACATTGGTTTCTTTGGTACTAGAAGCATCTGTTCTCTCAGCCAGCTCATTCTTTGTACAATCCTAGAAATTTAAAATACTGTAATTTACACTTTAAACCAGGGATGACCATTTCACACAAAAACACCTATAACATCAAATGGATATTTGTACCCAAAATTTGGGTACACAGAATGGAGGCAAACAAGGTTGACTCAGCCAAAAAAGCATAACCGCTGCCACGCCATAATTCATCATCGGAATGATGTTGCCATGTTCCTAGCCAGTGTGGTTATGAGAGTTATTCACCCCCCTGAACATCTGACATTTTGAATATTTTCAGGGGGGGTGAACACCTCATAAGTGTAACCGCTGTAATGTTCCTATTCTGTAACTATGGTACTTAATTACTGTTCACCATACCAAAGTAATGCAAGTATAAGGTGTTTTTGATGGTATATGTATTTTGTAGTGATTACTCAGGTAAGGCAAAATATAAAATATTATATGCATTATACCTGATCGCCAACTTTGTTTAAATTCATTTCCTGTCTCTCTGCAGTTTCACCAGTTTGCTTTTTCTTGCTAAAAGCAAACTTTTTCTTCGGCATAAAATTACTTCGTTTATCATTTAACTCCAGCTGTACTTTGTTAATTTCAGCTTGCATATTTTTAACATCATAGGAGGGCAAGAACGTAAAGGAATCCGATAAGAATTTTTGAAGCTTTTGAAGCATTTTTGTCGCATCGTCTAACCGCTCGCGCAAAGCGGTTCGTTCAAGGCTGTTTAAATCGCACAACATTTTTTCTATCGTTGCTTTTTCTGTGACAAATGTCGAGAGTAAAAGCTCAGGATTTTCTTCAGGTCTTATTTGTTCGGCTCGTTCTTGTTTTTTTCTCTCTAATTCTAAAAGTCTTGCTTCCTGTCGTCTTTCCAATTTTTCTTTCCATTCGGCCGCCATTTTGTTGGCTCGTGTTTCCACAGGGAAATCTGGCAAACTCACTTTTTGTCTTTTAAATTTCTCAACATTTTTTAGCTTAAAAGCCTTAAAACAATACATGTTCTTTCACATTATCTCAATTATTAAATAGGGGTTGTTTCAGGCTGCTTTCTTTTGCATCTTTTAATCTTGGCAAAATACAAAATTATCAAATATGCTATAGTTATAAAAGTATAACTCTTTTATGCTCCAATCTGTGCTTCATACAAGTGGAAACACTATCACGTGTGCAAAATTTAAAAGCATGTTGCGGCCATCTTGAAAGCGGAACAAAACCACTTGGGAATTTTAGCGTTTTGTTTTGTCTTTTCTCGAAGAAATTTTCTTGTTTTAGCAATGATCTTTGCGCATTTTAATACCTGACAGCAACATGAATCCAGGCCAGCAGCAATCAGGTCAAAATCCCGCACAGTATATGCAACAATATGCCGGGTATATGCCGACAGGCCAAGCAGGTTTTTACCCAGCTGCCTATCCAGCTTACCCGACGTATGGTGGGTATCCAGCTAGTACTATGGACGCACAGTACATGGGGTATTATGGCATGACTGCTGCACTGCCTACAGCTACTACAGTTGCCACTCCTCAAGTTGGTTCTGCCACTAACACCCAGGTAAAGTATTTCTTAGAAATTTTCGGCATTGGGCTATTCCATTTAAGAGGGTCTGAATGGGGTTAACTGACCACTAGCATTTGCCTGAATTTTTGACTGACCTCTGACAAAATATCCTGACTGACAACTGAGAAATGACGAAAAAATGATGAGTCAGCATTTTGCAGTAACTGACTACTGACAGCTTGCAATATATCGCACTGACAACTGGCTTAAATTTTAGCTAACAACTGACACCCAAAGACCCCCATTAAGACCCTCGTTTAATATCTGTACCCCCTGTCAAGGATACAAGTCTTTCATAGTTGTAAACCTACCACACCCATTTTCTATTCTCGATCGGTTTTGGTTTCCGACTCGAGACCTGGTTCTGAAAGGTGGGCCGAAAATGTACGATCCTACCCGGTACGGGTCTTGTATTTCAATTCAAGACTTATACCGAGTCTTGAAATAGGGGGATTCAAGGTTTTTGAATTTTGACGCCATAATGAAACACAATAGTGCAAGGGGTGCAAACACAATGGAATTCCCTATAGGTAAATCTGCAGGGGGAGCAAACACCATTGTGAAAACAGTAGATTCAAGATGGCATCAGAAACCTTGAATCCCCCTATTGCTACAAAACTCGAGCTTCACATCTCCTTTTTGACTAGAAAACGCTACACGTCTCTGAGTCGAGAAAGAGGCAACAGCTGTGTACCCTCGGAGAACCCGTCAAACTCTACCTTTAGGTAAGAGTAACTATCATTTGGTGCACAAGGACTGTTAAAATTGCTTGGTGTACTCTGGGAATTTATACAATATCTGCTCTTTCGCTTGTGGGACGTAAAATGATATATTGTGCATGCTTACCACATTAAAGCGTATCTAATGCGCACGCTCAACCTTATTTTATGTCCCACAACCACAACCTGGAAAAGTGTGTGTATAAGATGTAATTCTGCTCAAAGTTTAATGAACTCTCCATTGACATGCTGCTTTTAGACAAATGCAATGACTGTTGTTCAAGTATTGTTTATTGTGTGTGTTTAGTATACCTTGTAAATTGTTTCTGTATAACTATTGGGGCTGCTGTAATTGGCAAGAGCTGTTGTGGTTTTCCAGCCAATGAATGTATAAGTATGATGGCAAAGTAAATAAATAAATAAAACCTCTTGAGGACAATAGCAAATAGGTGTGATAGGTATACAGCTATTTCAATGGACCATTTGCATTATAGACTAAATTTTGATCTAGACAAATATTTCGTCACAGCTTTGAAAGAGCATCACAAAATTAGTAATATTCCAAAGTTTCGTTGCGAAATGTTGTAAAATGCGGATAATATAGCCATGCGAAGTTTGCCGTTTTTCAGTCATTTTGTATTACGCACGGGAAATTGACAGCCCAATCGGGTGTTGGGGCATCAATTTCCGTTTGTAATACAAAATGACTGAAAATTGCAAATTTCGCAAGGCTATATTATCCGCATTTTACAACATTTCGCAACGAAACTTTGGAATATTACTAATTTTGTGATGCTCTTTCAAGCTGTGATGAAATATTTGTCTAGATCAAAATTTAGTCTATAATGCAAATGTCCATTAAGGTTGTCCCCCGAGCAAAGTGGAAAAGTCAAATACAAGCGCGAAAGGCTGCTGGGAATCGCAAATAAAAGAATGAATTTATTAGCGATTCCCAGCAGCCTTTTGCACTCGTATTTGACTTTTCCGCTTTGCTCGGGGGACAACCTTTATTGAAATAGCTGTATAAACAATCCTGGTAAGCCACATAAGTACACATACAACCAAACAAACATGTAATTCCTATAAAGCTAATAACCATTAATTAATGTATATGATATTTTAAAACAAAAGTAGAAAGGATGCCAATATTTCTAAGACTTGTATGTAAGTGTAGAATGAGCTTGACAGTAAATTTATTGTTAAGGTCAGTTATGTGTGGTTATTCTAGGAAGTTCTTCCTTGCTTTAAGACAAACCCTAATTGATAGACAGATATTTATTTTCCCAGTATACAGTTACAATTTTGATAAAATATAAAGATACAGTTCACATGGAAGGAAGACTAACAAGCCGGTCAGGGCTTTTCTAGTAGTCTACCCTAAAAACTTTAAAAAAACTAATATAACAAAGAAAATAGAGTCTGATGATGTCAGGTTCTAGATATATGAGGTAAACTATTACAAATTAAGCATATAAAGGTAATTCCTATTTACAGTTTTTTATTTGTATGTTAATATGAAGTGGTAACACTTAAGCCTGGAACAAATGTGCAAAAAAGTTGAATGACAGCCGACTGAAGCATATTGCTGCACAAAATGTTATTCTTTAAGCTAAAGTTGTAAAAAACTATGAAATTCTAGCCAAGTCTATACTCAATTGTTAGTGCAGGTTATTTCTACCCAATCATGAATATGTATGATATTTTTTTAGGGTACTGCAGGTCAACAAGACTTTCTAAAGCAATATGAAGAGTGGAAGAAACAGTATGACCAGTGGCTTGAGAAAACCAAGAACCATCCTGACCAACAGCAGTTTCAACAATGGCAACAACAAATGCAGCAATGGGAACAAAACCTAACACAGGTTTTACCACAACAACCTGCAACAAACACACAACAACCTGTGACAAAAACACAGCAAACAGCAACAAACACACAGCAAACAGCACCACCGTTACCTCCACAACCTCCTCAACTAACTAATCCAAATCAAACTGGTGGTCAATCAGGTTATTCTGGTCAAACAGGTTATTCTGGGCAAACAGGTCAGTCTGGGCAAACAGGTCAGTCTGGGCAAACAGGTCAGTCTGGGCAAACAAGTCAGTCTGGTCAAACAGGTCAGTCTGGTCGATCAAGTTATACTGGTCAATCAAGTTATACTGGTCAATCAGGTTATACTGGTCAATCAGGTTATACTGATCAATCAGGTTATACTGGTCAATCAGGTTATACTGGTCAAACAGGTTATTCTGGTCAAACAGGTTATACTGGCCAAACAAGTTATTCTGGTCAAACCGGTCAGTCTGGTCAATCCAATCAGTCTGGTCAAACCGGTCAGTTTGGTCAAGCTGGTTATTCTGGTCAAACAGGTTATTCTGGTCAAACCGGTCAGTCTAGTCAAACTGGTCAGTTTGGTCAAACCAGTCAGTCTGGTCAAGTTGGTTATTCTGGTAAAACAGGTTATTCTGATCAAACCGGTCAGTCTAGTCAAACTGGTCAGTTTGGTCAAACCAGTCAGTCTGGTCAAGTTGGTTATTCTGGTAAAACAGGTTATTCTGATCAAACCGGTCAGTCTAGTCAAACTGGTCAGTTTGGTCAAACCAGTCAGTCTGGTCAAGTTGGTTATTCTGGTAAAACAGGTTATTCTGATCAAACCGGTCAGTCTAGTCAAACTGGTCAGTTTGGTCAAACCAGTCAGTCTGGTCAAGTTGGTTATTCTGGTAAAACAGGTTATTCTGATCAAACCGGTCAGTCTAGTCAAACTGGTCAGTTTGGTCAAACCAGTCAGTCTGGTCAAGTTGGTTATTCTGGTAAAACAGGTTATTCTGATCAAACCGGTCAGTCTAGTCAAACTGGTCAGTTTGGTCAAACCAGTCAGTCTGGTCAAGTTGGTTATTCTGGTAAAACAGGTTATTCTGATCAAACCGGTCAGTCTAGTCAAACTGGTCAGTTTGGTCAAACCAGTCAGTCTGGTCAAGTTGGTTATTCTGGTAAAACAGGTTATTCTGATCAAACCGGTCAGTCTAGTCAAACTGGTCAGTTTGGTCAAACCAGTCAGTCT